TCTCCTTATTATTCTATAAAGAGTTCGATAGATATGCACAATATAATTTCTAAGATGTTGGACAATCTTAGTGTCCATTGTCTAAATGGAATATCTTAGGGTGAAGTTTGTGGCACTTTTAAACATATGGAAAGTTTTGATTCTGTGTTCAATTTTCATTTAATGCATAGCATCATGAGAATAACCGATGGTCTTTGTCAGACCCTTCAAATGAAATCTCAAGACATCTTGACTTCTATGAGATTTATTTTTACTGCATCAAAACTTCTTATAAAATGAGAGATGATGATTGGGAAGAATTTCTTTAAGAAGTGAAGAGGTTTTGCTCAAAACGTCATATTGAGATTCCCAACCTAGAAAGTTTATGTAAGGTTAGTCCTTGTCATTCTCTTAATCAAACAACAGTGAAGCATCATTATTTGCTTGATGTTTTCAATGTATCAATAGATTTCAAAATAATAGAATTAAATTCAAGATTTAATGATACATCGGTTGAACTTTCACTCAGTGCAGCTTTGGATCCCAGAGATTCATTTGAATTATTTAACAGTCGCAATAGATATAGATTCTAGAGTGCAATATTATGAGTTTTGATGTAGTATGAACAAATCTCATAGCAGTGACATTCTGATAGATATAGATTCTAGCCGTGATAGGATCCTAGAGATTCATTTGAATATGAGTTGTGACATTACGAGTTAAATATGAAGAGTGCACCTCAATTTCAACTATCTACACTTGTTGAGTTATACCGACAATTGACTGAGAGTAGAAGGTCGGAGACTTATATAGTGGTTATTAGATTGATTCATTTTGTATCCACTTTATGCATTTCTATTGGGACTAATGAGTGAGCATTTCAGCAATGAAACATATAAAGATATCCTTCGTAACATAATGGAGGATATATTTCTTGCTGATTGTATGACACTCTTCATCGAACGAGAACTTGCTCAGAAAACAAATATACATCCTACAGTAGATGAATTTTATATTCAAAACTTCGTTGCGAACAACTTCAAATTACATGAATTTGACTTTAATGTTATATATGAATTTTTTATATTGAATTTTAAAATTTAGCCCATGGCCTGAAATTCTTGGATGCACCCTGAGCTTGATCCATTGCTTAATTACAACACAGGGCCAATCATGGTAAATCACATCATGTTTAGAATGTTAGACTTAATACAAGAAACAAGGCACATAACCTATAACAGGTTGTACACCTGATATGCAAACGGGACATTAAAGACAAGCAGCTTTTTAAGAAGTATTTTGTGCGCTAGGAATTACTTCAAAGAGTTGTCACTACCTAATGGGGGTTAACATGCTTCCTACTTGTGTGCTAATTGCAAAACAAGAAGACTTGCATATAAACTGGCAATTCAAAAGCAGATGGCATTGTTTACTGCATCCTTAAAATCCTATTAACATCATAATTCATAGGAAATGAAAGATGGGCAGTACATCCCCATGATAGGCAACTATAATTCCAAAAAGTTAATTTAAACCTTAATCCTGCCAAAAAGAACTTGTGTATTGCCAAAATCCTCCCCCACACCCGATAGAACTTGGCCATAGGTCAACGAGTCATCGAAAAAATGGAGGATGTTGTAACAAAGAAAAATACAAAGCGGAGAGAACGAGATAGCAGGACAAGCGAGCAACTTTTTTTTAAGTCTTGTTGCCTCATCTCTTCTTGCCGTCGTTGGGAGCTAATGATCAAGTCTCTTCACCAGTACACCGTTGCTTATTTTGTTTTTGTTTGGGCATTTCACCTCTTGCAACACCAACCTCTTGTTCATGACTCACATCATCATGCCTTCCTAGGTACTGGGGTCGGTGTTGGCCAAAAGTTTACTACCTTCTTTCTCACCCTTGTCTTCCTTTAGAATTTTAGCATTTGCATCACAGTTCTCATTTTCAGCACCAATGTTGGATTTTCCATCTGTGCCATCAATTTCTTCCCCCATGTCCACTTCTATACATGCATCATCAGTTTCATCACATAACTAAGAGTCCTCATCCGCAACATCAATTTTTACAGATTCCATGCTTTCCCTCTTCACATGGCTCTGTAGTAATTCAATCAAATTCCTCAACTCCTTGTTGACCTGTTGTAAATCATAACAGAAAATTATTTATTTCTGCAGAGAGGTGTTGATGAATTATGAAAATCCATGTTTCATATATTCACAAATTCGTATGCTTGTAATCTAAAGAAGTAAAATAAAGATTTGGTTCAAGTTTAAGATCATATAGCAATTCATGAATTTACCTTTAATTTTGTCTTTCTTGAGTGCAATCTGATATCCAATAGAAAAACTTTGAGATCATTTTCCACTCCAATTCTGACGACATTTTTTCATTGGAAATTTTTAATTAGCTAATGTTTTGGGATATAATTAAGGAAACGTAATCTATGCTATTCTTTTAAATATCGGTTACAATTAATTTACAGGAGGATATTATTATATATTTTGTACAGTATTTTAGATATATAATTGTAGTAATTAAAGAATTGTTTTTTTTTTTTTGACATAAATATGAATTTTTCCCTTATAGAAAGGTATGAAAAAAGAAATTAAAATTTTATTCATTAAAATGTTTAGTCTTATTTATTGTTGCAGATTTAAATCCGCATATAAAATATGCCTCGATTATCCCAATAATTATTTGAGCTGGAAGATCAGTTCGAGACTTAAAGTCAATATGATTTAACACGATTCAAAATTAAGAAAATACATCAAAAGTATTTATTTTTTATTCTATTCTATTGAACGAACCAAACATATAACCTACGGGCACCCAAATCTAATGAAAATAGGTTTGGCTCAATATTATTAGTTATATGATATAATGTTTTCCATCAAATTAATAAAGTTGACAACATAAAAGAATTCAAGGGATAACCTTAAATTGAAGGGATTAATTGGATTTGATGTCACAAAAATGTTTTTATTTCTAAATTGCTATGAATAATAATCAGTCGATTCTCGATAATTGAAGGTGTTTAATGTCCTCCCCCAATTCCCTCCCCTCAATAACTATATAGTAATTAAAAAATTAAATTACATCCACTCATTTTCTTCATAAGTAATATATTATGATATGAATAAGGAAACGTTTGAATTTCATAGCCCTTAAATTTAAATATATTTACTGTAAGTGGAATAAAAAATACTTTTTTTTTCCCTATGGAAGAAACCTTATATTTCTTTTCATATTATTTTTTAAAGAATATATAATTATTACCAAGTTTTTTTTTTTTTTTTTT